TATGATATTTCTCTGTTCAATTTGGCTTTGTAGATCTGGGTACAGGAGATGCCTTTTGATTTGGGAATCTTGAACTCTTAGAAAGTTAAATTGCGGCGTAAACTCTTCAAATACCTATGCTAGATTATTTTATATGTTTGCACAAGTTGCTATAAAGAATGACTTGCAGACCATTATGTTTACAAATTTTATTAGTGACTTGCTCACCTTTTGGAAAGTTTTTGGCAACTTGTAAACAGAATAAATTCATTAAAGGTGTATGCTATTGTGTAACCTTCAATCGATATGTCAATCGGCCATGTGTCAATTTAGAACTAGTTTGGCTTCTATATGGATCCGCTACTCCATTCCACTCTATTTGGCCTCAATTAACTCCAATAATATCGTGTAACTGTATGAAAAAAAAAAGAAGAAGAAAAAGTTGAATGCAGTTACTTTGATTTGTATATTTGTTTGTATTATTCACTCTTTTGAACAGAAAATCCCTGATGCTGATAGTTCAGTTTTTTCTTCTGGTTGGTAGAATGGTTAGGCCATCAGATCGTGGTGGTTTTGATCGCCAGACATCATGGGGAAATCCCATGGGAAGGCCAGAGCACCGTTTACGTCCGGGATCAGCTGGTGCAACCAGAAACTTTGATGAGAAGACTCCTTTCTTAAGCCATAATGCACCAATAGGCCGTAATTTTGATGAGGATGAAAGGAAGCCATTGGATGGAGCATCTGGACCTCGTCGAACAGTTAGTGATGAGAGTATCCGTGCATTGCCAAGTCGTGTGGAACCTAAGGCCGAATACTCTGTCACTGGGATGGTAGGTAGCGGGCAAGTATCAGCTCCTCCCTCTCAAAGTTTTAGAGGTGCAGCAAGTGGTACACATGTGGCTAGGTTTAATGAAGCAACTAGTATGGGAGTGAGTACTAAAAGTTCTGGCAGTGGCAGTGGCAGGAGGGCGAGTTCTCCGAATGTGTCTGCAAATAGTGGTCAAGTGGTTAGTGGATCATATCCAAATGCGTGGGGCCTAAGGAAGGAGGTACCAAGTGCAAAAGAATCAATTTCTGCTCCATGGTCTGCTCCGGATGCTGAGTCAAAGTTGGCCCATGCCAGTGCCCTCGAGAAAGTCTCATCTGGTAGGTGGCATTCAAAGCAGCAGATTCATTCTCAGGTTGATGTTGAGGTCGTTAAACGTCCAGACGCAGAGAAAGAATTCTATCATCATGGAAGTACTATGGTCAACAATAATGTCTACAACATGCCAGATGTTGTGGGAGGACCCGAATATGGTGAGGTGCTAGTGGTGCATGCTGAAAGAAGTCTTGCTCTTGCAGATGGGGTTCATGGGTTTAACAAGGAGTTACCAGCACGGGAGAGGGCCAGGTCCCCTTTATTTATGGAGGCAAATGAGATAAGAGCTTCTCCTAATGTTACTGGGTTTCAACGGCCCCATAATGTTATTAGCTCTGGTGGATATGACTTGCAGGTGCCAGTATCTTCTGAACCATCCGAGCGGCCCAAATTGAAGTTGCTACCAAGATCCAAACCATTGGAGAGTCTGGAGCAGTCCATAGATTATAAGCAGGTTTGTGGCATTGCTCTCTGTCGAGGTTTTACTTATGTATAAGAATCTTATTTCGTTATCTCAAATGTAGGTCAACCAGCAGCCAAGTAATCCTGTTCGTATTGAAAAATTGGGTGATGCAAATCCCAATTTAAATCCCATCAAAACTGGGTTTATTGAACCTGAAAGTGGTAATCTTGCAATTGAACGCCCAAAATTGAACCTGAAGCCTCGGTCGCAGCTTCTTGAACAATCAGAGGGAAACACTGAAAATAAAAGGTCTACCTAATTGAACTCCCCTGCATCTGTTTATTGCTTCAATTACTTGGCCTGTCTATGTTAACTTGGAGGTATTTTGAAAAGATAAAATGTGCTTATCAGGACCTTTTAGTGAAAATGTTTCTAGTGTGAGAATATAGTTGGATTGCTGGAATGTGACATAGTGAAAATATGTCAACCATTCTCTCCCAGCTGTAATACCAACTTACCAACTTAGATGGATTCAGATCTTACCAAAAAATAAAAAGGGGACCAAGTTACCAAATGGTTCTGTATTGTGAGGATTCATTAGAAATTGACTAGTTTTACGCCTATTGCAACTCTCCTTTATTCAGATTTGGTACTGGTAATGCAAGCAAATTCTCACGGGCAGAGTAAAAAGATCCATGTAGGCGATACCAATTAGTTGTGGTAAAGGTTTAGTTTTCTAGGAGTCTTTTAGTCATGTTAGAGATTTGTGTTAGTAGAAAATATAGAGATCTCTAGTGTTTGATAAACCAAATCTTAAAATATTGGAGTGATATGATTCTAAATGGAGTGAATGGCTAGTGATTATTCCTACAGCCAACCCAACTAGTTTGGTACTAGTGATAGTAGTAGTTGTTGCATTATCAAGTGATCTGCCGGTGCAAACCCTCTGTGTTTCAGCTTTTCGCTCCTGCTGCATCTCTTCGTCGATAAGAGCATTATGAGGTTTGTCTTACAAGGGTTAAGTGAACTACGCTGACTGTTCTAATGCCTTAAGAGTTGTTGATTATGGTGATCAGAGGAAGGATAGTAAGAGTTGGTGGACCAGGTTTTGGGAAATTATTTCAGCTGAGTTGCAAGAAATTAATGCCTTTTGGCTGTTAAATTGCTTATTATGATCTGAAAAGCTCTAGTGTTTTTCTAACTTTCATAACTTAGTATTGGCTTTCTTATTTAGATAACAACTGGCCACTGTTTTTATATTTTCTTTCTTTTCCTGTTGGAGATGAGAAGGTGGCAGGTAGTTGATTCATGAATCTAGGCAATATCTCAGATCTAGTAAAAGATAAAGATGATATTCCGGGCATCACTAGGAAACTTCCTTAGCAAGTTTGAAGTTTCACCTGTGTTTTCTCTCTGTGAAATCTCACAACTGATATTCGGTCCTCTTCTCCATCTCCTTTGTGATCTCCATCTTTTCAGAGCTGCTTTTACTGAGATGAAAACATCAAAGACAGCTATTCTGGGTAAAGCTGACACTGTTTTGTGCTTATGATTTGTGTGCGCAGGAAACCATTATTTGGCGCTGCTCGTCCACGCGAAATGGTAAGTTATTAATCTTGTGAATGCAAAAGAAAAGTAATATTTGCCAAAGATAATGTTTCTTCTTCTGCTGCTGATTAAAAGAAACATAATATGTTCGTTTTACACCTCAATGTCTTTTAGAATTGCTTGATGAAAAGATTAACTAAGATTGTACTGTCCTCTTCCAATTTTTGGTTCCCTAATGTTGGAGGTTTTCTCATTTCTGTTAATCCTACTGTCAATTATGGGTGGTCGCCACCAGGTTCTGAAGGATCGTGGGATTGATGATGTTACGCCTAATCATGATCTTCATCAACCTCATCCAAGGTAGTAAATCAGTTGATTCTGCAATCTCTTTCTATAACTCAGAAGTTTCCTCGCTTGACAAACTAAGTGGTAATTCTCTGAAGGAGCAAACAACATGCTGGCAAAGCAGAGACAGCTATGCATGCGACCAGGCATAATGAGAAAGTAGAGAGTATCCCCATTGACCATAGGATGGCGAAGAATGCAGATAGGCGAGATCACAGGACAGATGTCGAGAAAGGAGATGGACAGAGGAAGAATTGGAGAAACGAGAACTGGAGGAACACCAAGGAGATTGAAAGGCACCACCACCATCAGCCGCAGCAACATGCACAGGAGAGGCCGCCCTCACCAGAAACCTGGCGCAAGCCTGTTGAACCACCAAAACCTGCTTCTGTCGATGCAGCTGGTGTACGATACGGAAAAGCAGCCTCTGCGGTCGAGCTTGCTACAGCCTTCTCAAGATCGGTCTCTGATCCAGCAACAACCGATCGTTTTTCTAGCCATAAAGCTCTTCCTAATCGGGGTCAAATCCCTTTTTCTCGGTTGACAGGCCCTCCACAGAGGCCTCAGATTAACGGGTACTAAGCACCAGGAGATTATCTATACATTAGCAAATGAAATGTCTTATTATTGCAATTGCTTATTTGGATGCAACAGAGATTTGTTTGCAGCGGGAATGCCAAGATGGAGATTATAGTTGTTCTCCGTGTTACAGGCTAGCAACAAAATATATGCTCTTGCAGCTGAAAATCTAGGACCTGATTCTTGTCCCTTTAAACCTAACGCCTTCAACCTTGGGAAATCCATTCCTTTTTCTTTCTTTTTCTTTTATATCTTCTTAGTTTGATAATAATCATCGGGGATGATGTTTGTTCCCTTTATAGATTATTTGTTGCTCAGAATGAATTTCTGATTGAAGCCTTGGCAGTAACTAATGATGTATGCTTTGGAGGTGTTTTACATTCCAAGGCTAATACCGTCTTTCATTTGATTGATGGTGTAGACGTGTAGTGTAGAAACAGAATCGCTCTATGGATTGAGCTTCTGCCGATGTGCCTTGGCAGTAACAACACATTCTCACATAGCCCCTTTAGACTAATTTGGTTTAAAGACGCGGATATGAAATTAATTGCTTATAATTTTGCCTCGAGGTTTTGGGGTGACAAATGCACATTGCTTATGCAGTATGAAGTTTTTTTAAGTTCACTAGTATAGCGTGTGATGTGAAGTTAAGTGCACGTTACGAGTCCGAAATGTATCGCAGACAATAGTATGGTATTTCAGTGAACAACTGACAAGGGTGGGTCCATTACCATTTCAAATTTTGTGCCAATTGATCTTCAGGGAATTATTGGTTATCAGAAAAGAAAGGAAAAAAAAATGAAGTATGAACCTGTTATCTGTCAGTGTTCACATTACCCCTGGTAAATTGCAGAAGCCTTGGACCAAATCCCTTATCTTAATGATGATATGGCTAGCAGGCTAGGCATGCTTCAGGGAGCATTTTATTGACATCATCTTTAAATTTTCTTGGCTTTCGAGTAAATCTACTCAGCAATGGCGGATATTGCATTAGTCGAGAACTTTGATTAAGTAATTGCTCCTCTGGCTTTTTATCGGATAATTATAGTAATAGTAATAATTGCACTCCTGGTTTCTCTATTATAAACTAAGAGATAAAAATATATTACACTCATTGGTTGAATTATCATGACACAAGCACACGAACTTCTCAGTTCTCACTAAGACATGAAGAGAGTAACTAGCAAAAGGAGATTAAAACACGAAGGTCATCGCTGATAGTGCCACAATATTTGTCTGGAACGGAGCTTGTACCCTACAACAAGGCAAAATTACATGTCAAGTAATCAATGGTTGCCATACAGAACAAAATAAGTACCAAAATTTCATTCTGGTTAAGCGTGTTTCACAAACACAAGTTTCGAGTATAGGCAAATTCAGGATCTAGAGTTAATGGTTTCTGAATGACTCTGATCTTATTATGTTGGAAGGTATATATAGTTTGAGCCAAAAACAATAAATTCAGCTATCCTAGATTCACCTCTGGTATAAAGCATTGATTATTTCAGGATAACGTAAAATAATTGCTTACCTGAGATCATGGTAATAACCACAAGCTTGAGAATTGGTTTTTGCTCCAACGTTTTTCATCTTCTTGGTGGTGGCTTTGATCCCTTCTTGTGCTTTGTTGGCTGAGGAATTGTCATTTTCAGAAATGGTGTACAGCGATGGCTGCCACAGTCCCTTTGACAATGAATTTCTACGAGCTAATTTGCGGCCCCTGGTTGTGTTTTCCTCTATGCATGTCACTTGAACAAGAGTACATGCCTCCATTTTGTGACTATTTTCACTATCAGAACCACTATAACACGACAGAAAATCAGCTAAGAACTTCATAGTTCTTTAACTTTAATTCTAGACCTATATTGGGCTTTCTTTCGTCTAGTGCTGTTGAATGTTTATAACAGATTTAGAAGACAACTATTTAGGTCAATTTGGTCACTTTAGGCTGCAAGTGAGGTGTGATGATAGTGAAAGGCCACCTTTTTAATAATATGGATGCCAAATAATTGGTCATAAAATAAAGATATGGTGGATTGCATTTAATGATAAGATTATCAAAATCCAAATGCATGTCAAATACGTGAAGCTAAACTTTCTCTTTTCCAAAGTATCAACTTTTCTAGACTACTTTTAACAAAGCACAAATATTGGATAACTTTGTCCACCAAAGCTTAGGTATATGGAAAAAAAATATCGATCTACTCCGATATTTTTCATCTTTACTAGAATTTGAGAGCAACTTGTTTTTTCAGAGTCTGCGACTGACTTTCACAGTCCTCGAAGGGTTTACCTTAAAACCAAATGCTAAAACCTAAGGTCACTAAGAACAGAGGCGGAGCCAGGATTTCAAGCTTATGGGGATCGTGATTCTAATCGTTTGAAGTTATTGGGTTCTAAATTAATAATATATACGTATTCAATGAAATTTTTAAGATAAATACAGAGTTCAAACCAAAGCTACTGGATTCGGCTGAACCGTTCCGGTCACTCTAGCTCCGCCCCTAACTGAGAAAGAAACAATTGAAAATTTTGGACATAAATAGTCTACTCCAATTTAGCTCCTCTCCCCTATCTACTCCCTTGTTTTTCTAATAGATATTCTAATTGAGCTCAAATGTTAATTAAGGAAAACCAATGGAATTGTTTGTTTTCTCTGATGTCATGATTCAAAAACAGTAAGCGAATTTTGGTTTAGTCAAGTTTTTTTTTTACTAGAACTCTTATTAAATTATTAGTTAATTGATTGGCATCATGGACTTGCCGGCTTTAATACTTGAAAATGCGATATGTTATTGCAACTAGATTCAGCTATTGCAAAATCTATCATTGATCAAAAGTTTCTACCTTTTGTTGTATTTTTCTGCTTTTAAAAAAGTGTGCATGCATTCCACACATAAAAATTTGCCTTTATCCTCGTGTTCTCTCTCGCTTCTTCTTCATTTTCCTTTTCCTTTTGGTGTCCGTTAGTATTGTCACATGAGATACTTGGCAGTTCTTGCATTATTATGTACTGTGGAACTATTTGAAGATTTATTTTTTTAATTCTATTTGGCTTGGGGCTAGACAAGCGGAGGCAAGATTTCTGTTAAGGGGTTCAAACAAGGAAAAAATTATGAAATTGAGAGAGGTTGTGCCCAGTGAGGATTTAACTAGTGACCTCACAAAGGTTTTGAACCCTCTTGACTATTGAACTTTGCTTTTGGGCTATGTCAAGGGGATTCAAAACATAATGTATAAGGATAAAAACAGATTTTGCCTTACATATACAATATAATTTTTCCGCGATAAGAGTTCGGATGAACACCCTTCCGCCCTAATTCCGCCCCTAAATCCGCCCCGGGACGGACAGAAAAGAGAAAGAGACTAGAAGAATTTGATGAGAATAGAACCGAATTAGACTCAAACTATCATTGTTTTGACTTTTTACTTCCAAAATTTTCTCTGATTTATCCCTTGAGAACACTATATTTTCTTCATTTTTATTGAAGAAATGTGTACATCTACCAAAATATATATGAATGAACCTTGTGTAACTTCACAAATTTATAAAAATACCTTAAATCGTAGAATGGGAACCTATAATAGATAGTCATGCTTTTGTCAAAACTTTGAGGAAAGCTCACTTGAGTCTTTAGGTGCGGTCAAGCTGCGCCAATTTCACCTCATATCAACCCAAAGTATATGTAGAGGTAAAAGAGCAGAGGCGATTACCTTGAATTACTTCTTTTTGTAATTTGCAGTACTTTCCCTGCAAGTTAATGAAGTTCTGTAGTCAAACAAATTCTGTTATGGGGGGATCTAGTTTGCATTAAAGGAAATAATCTCAAAGTCAGCTTATCCCACTATCCAAAATTAGCGGCAAAAAGTGGAAAACATCAACTGCTACGTACCAAGGCCTGTAAGTAGTGGAGGATGACAATAATTCTTGAGAATATAACCTTTTTTTGGTAGTTGAGACTGTAACTTGCTTCCTTGACCAAAACAAAAAACTTACTTCCTCGTTTAAAAAAGAATGACAATATCTGGAACGCCAAAGTCAGCCCATCTAGTACTTTTTTTAGTTGTTATTGTTGTGAATTTGGATATTCAATTTTAATTTTTAATTTTAGATTTTTCATTAAAAAAATGCTATAGATCAACAACTTAATTTTAATGTTAAAACTTTTTAAAATTTTGAAAAAAATCATAGTCAAAAAAATTATTTTATCTTCTCAAATAGTAATGATATTATTCATTATAGAAGTAGATAGTTCTAAAAAGCAAATGAACTCCCAATTTTGCCCTTAATTTTCAGGATTATCTTAATACTGTAGCTTTATTGTAGCCCTATATTATTTTGGATGCTTCTAATTTCCTAGAATTTTCTATGCTTTCATTGGCATAGTATAGTTTACAAATGTCGAGAAACCTCCTTAATAACTACATGGTTTTAAAACTCGAGTTTGTCAGTTTGAAATCAGTGTTTGGAACTTCTTTCATCCTCCATCTCTCAACATTTTGCTATTTCCCTCTGAATATCATTCTAGAGCTAAGACAGTCTAGTTAATGTTTTTTTCTTAACATTCATTTCCCTGTCTTTTAGCTGTTGGAGCCATCCTTTTACTATGAAAAATTGTTGCCTTCTTGAGGTAGATGTCAATGGCCAAGAATTATTTTTGGTGGACAAGGTAACCTAGAGAAACATACATTTTACTACAATATCCTGTTTCCTATTGACATTTTTGTCATTGCCAAGTTTTGTGTTTAGTATACTTTTGCCATTTCCTTTGAGAAAAAATGATTCTTAGGGACTAAAATGCAGCCTTGAAATATCTGGACTGACCATCTTATATTAATGCTTTTTAATCTTCTGCAGAATATTCTTGTATCTCTCTCAGGGAGATTAATAAAATTATTCAGTAAGTTGACAGGGAAAACAAGAAGGCTGAAATTAATTTTCGACAAATTTCCAGGAGGTGCTGAGTGTTTTGAACTCATTGCTAAGTTTTGCTATAATGGTGGTAGGATAAAGATTACTCCTTTTAACATGTTTCAACTGCATTGTGCTGCTAATTACCTGGAAATGAATCAAGAAATGCAGGGGAAACCAAATTTGATTGAGCAAACAAGTTCTTATTTTCAGAAGATTCATTACATGACATGGTCTGAGCTGATTATTAGCTTGGAAAAGTGCCAACAACTCCTTTCTTTCTTGCCATCTTCATCTATACTTCAAGATTTCTTGGATTGTGTTGTTGGAAGGCTTGAATTTCATAACATTTCCAGCCCATGTGCATCTTCTTCCGACAATTCGTCAATGCAGTTTTCAGGGGATATTAGTACAGAAAGCAAGCGAATTTACAGTTCTCAAGCAATCTGGTGGTTTGCAGATCTTGGATTTTTGAACCTTAATATGTTCAGGAGGATTATAGAGACAATGATGTCTAATAAATTGGATCATTCTGTGATTTCTTCCTTCCTGTTTTATTACAAAAGAGTGAAATGTCCCACTGCTTCATCAGCTCAGAAATGCAGAATCATTGAGACAGTAATCAAGTTCCTTTCTTCTCTTGATGGGAGTTTTATCTCTATTAGATGTCTATTTGACATTCTTCAGGCATCTTTTACCTTGAAAATGAGCAAATGTTCAATAGTGAAGTTAGAACATTTGATTGGTTCCCAGTTAGATAGAGCTAAACTTGATGATTTGCTTATTCCTTCTCCAGCAGGGGAAAAAACTGCTTATAATGTAAATTTAATTCTGAGGTTGCTTGACATATTCTTCTCCAATAGCCGCGAAAAATTATTGATGTATCAACTGAAGAAAGTTGCTGAGTTGATTGATCTATATATCATGGAAGTGGCACCTGATCCTTGTCTTAAACCTTGTAAGTTTTTGGCATTGGTAGCAGCACTACCTGATATTGCAAGAGAATCATATGAGAGAATTTATCTTGCCCTGGATATGTATCTCCAGGTAAGACATCTTTCAATAGTGTTTTCACTCTCAAACTGGATTGGTGTTCTCAAAAATCAATTCTAATTCGTTGTCTTTTTGTTGCATAAATCCTTAGTCCTGTCACACTAAACTTGGAATATTGTAGAAATGAACTAATGTTTCATTTGACGATGTAACTTATATACAATGACACTATAATTTAACCTATTATAGTAGGCTACTTACTATTTATTGTAGGTTACAAACAGGGCGAATGCAGCTCAGTGTCACCGGGTTCATCTGAACCCAGTACTTTCCGTGCATATCATAAGTTTATGTGTAAAAAATCACGAAAAAATGCAATAAATAGTAGATATGAACCTATAACTTCACAAATATAATAGGTTCGATGGTAAGAACTTTAAAATTAAACTTATAAAATTTAAATTTTGGAACGGCCTCTGGTTACAATCAATATTTTATATATATAATTAGCTACATGCTTGCTATCACATACCGTTTAATTAAGTGATATTTTTTTGTGTAAATATTTTTAACACTGTTGATGCATAGAACTTAATTAGCTCTTGAAACAGGTACATAAATATGGTTTATCTGAAGAAGAAAAGATAAAGATGTGTGGTGTCCTGAGCTATGAGAAGCTCTCAGAAGATATTCTCAAGGACCTTGCTCAAAATGAAAGCTTTCCAGCTCGTGCATTGATCACTGCAAAAGTCACTCAGCAGAACAGGCTCAGTTATTCGGCCACAAAACATATCTAAGTATTCAGTGATCATCATTAGAATCGATGTGGTCTTTGAAACGCAATTAGCAGTGGCAATGTATATACCAAATCTTGAAAGGTTTAGTGTAACAGGCTAGGAAAATCAAGTTTTGTTAGCATACAATTAATCTTTTGACTTGCAGCAAGGTGCATCACATTTTCATTTTATCTTCCAGGTGAAAAGAACAACATTATCAATCAAAGCTCCCTTAACAAATATATACATTACATACATACTTTAAAAAAAACTATATAAAGAGTTTGAGCTTAATATAATGTGGGCGCTCATATACTGATTGCTGATAATATGTAAATTTTCTCTGATTATAAGGACCTTTAAACTTGACGTTTTTACAAGATTTTAAACATGCTTGTTGTTTATCTCGAAAATACGAGTAACAATTAAATTTGATTAGTAGTTTTAAAGATATATGATTTAGTTCAATACCGATTAATAATCAAGAAATATGAAGTAGAAATGAAAGAGACAAGTGAATCAAACCAATGTTATTCAACAGCGGTGACCTCGAGCTTAGTGACTTCGAGGTGCGCTTAGAACAATAAGAACAATTAAGTAAGAAAAGTGAAGTAAGAACAGTAGAGCTAAAGGATGATTCTAATGAACAGTAAGCAAAAAGTAGAGAGTATATTTTTTCTTCAATAATTAGATGATGTTACAAAATGATTGGGGTCTCCTTTATATAATAGGGGAACCGCAAATAAGGTATATTTCTATTTACAGTAAGGAATATTCTTGCTACAGCTGTCTAATCGCCTAGTACGGAATCGTACAATCCTACTCCGGGATTTGCGCCATGATCTTGGGGACGTGACTGGAATCTAGCTCATTCTGTTACAAATCCGCAACGGTACTATTTCGGGGTCGAGGATACTTGGCTTCGATATTCCTCGTACTCCTATCTACGGGCATCGCATTCTGTCTTAGAGCTCGAGTCTGGTCTGTCGGGCTTGAGCTCGACCTCGCCCTCGAGCCTATAAATAGGATGCCCTGATTTCTACTGTGTACAGATAGTCTCCGTGTTTCTTAGAGTGTAACGATAAGAAACAAATTGAGTCCTTGATTTTTACCCCGATTTACCACGACATCATCATCGTGACGCAAGTGACGGAAACGAAAGCTTGGAAGCTGGCTTTTCCCTAGGAAAACTTCGAGAACCTTTAGCGAGTCCGATGGCAGGGAAGATTCTGAGGGCGAAGTCACTTCTACCAGCAAGGACCGTGCTGCTTAGGTTTCGTGCTCTTAGTAATTTTTTGCTTTTGAAGTTGATCGGCCCTTGCAAGGAACTCTCGATTGTGACCTATAACTTCTTGTAAAGAGGTTTATACAAAGCCCCCTTTTTCCTTCTATGGCTTCCGAATCTGTTACCTTTTTGAGCGGGTCAAAGCGCCTTAACATAAAACTCTTTTTGAATGTCCAAAGTTTGAGATGGTAATGACCGACAATAAGTTCTGCCCTCGAACATTTCTGATCAATGGTCCCCGAGTGACCTTTTGAACTTAAGTAGCTCTTAGGCTCTATGGATAGTCCCCGAGTGAGGGTTTGCTCGAACTCGAAGTAAAGTTAGCCCATAGGCTTTATTAATCCCCGATTGAGGGTTTGCTCGAACTCGGGTTAAGATAGCCATCGGGCTTTTATGATCGACTAAGGACTTGCTCGAACTCGAAATAGAGTTAGCCCTTAGGCTTCATAGATAGTCCCCGAGTGAGGGTTCGCTCGAACTCGAAGTAAAGTTAGCCCATAGGCTTTATTAATCCCCGATTGAGGGTTTGCTCGAACTCGGGTTAAGATAGCCATCGGGCTTTTATGATCGACTAAGGACTTGCTCGAACTCGAAATAGAGTTAGCCCTTAGGCTTCATAGATAGTCCCCGAGTGAGAATTTTCTCAAACTCGGGTAGCCCTTGGGCTTAGTGGTCGAGTGAGCACTTGCTCGAACTCGAGATAGCCCTTAGGCTTTTATATATTGGCCCTTATGCTCTTTTAGATCGGCCCTTAGGTTCTTTAAGTCGCTCCTTAGGCTCTTTAAGTCTCCCCTTAAGCTCTTATACATCGGCCCTTAGGCTCTTTAAATTGGTCCTTAGGCCTCTAAAATGGCTATAATTTTTCCCTCTTTTCGGCTAAAAAACTTAGTGAAAAGTTTGTATGCCTTAGCATGTATTTTCTGTGCTCGTTTGGGTTTTTCAAAGGTTCAACGTATCGGAACCTTATTACTAACTTGCGTGTGTAATCAAATACCTCTTGAGATTTTTTCGAAGGCTCATATTATCGAAGTCTTTAAATTATTCGAGGGCTGAATTTATCGAAGCCCTTTATATTTTACTTTTGTCGAGGGTAGCCTGATTTAATCGATTTTTTCAAAGTATTTGAAGGTCTTTAATTTATGGGGGAATTCGGACGTCTTCGAGCCGCATTATTTTGGTCGTAGCCTTTTTATATGACCGTAGTCTTTAATATGGTCGTAGCATTCAGGTATGTCACTTGGACTTGTTTCCCGATAACTTTTCGAACTTGTCCAAAATTTAGTCCCGGAGTATGATGGCCTTGGCCTGTATATCGGAGGGTGCCTCTTTTAGGTCTTATGATTTCGAACTTGGATAGCTCGAGTAGGTAGTCCCCGAGTGTTCGAGGTATGTTCGCACTTGGGTTAAGATAGCCCGTGGACTTTTATGATCGAGTAAGAATTTACTTGAACTCGAAGTAAAGTAGCCCTTAGGCTTCGTAGATAGTCCGCGAATGAGAGTTTGCTCGAAATCGGGTTAAGATAGCCCTTGTTCTTTTGTATTTGTTACGGATTTTGGATGCCCCCGATCCTCGTTAACTTGGTTGTAGCCTTTTTAGCTCGAAACTTGTCCTTTGGGCTTATCTTTCGTTTCACTTTGAGCTTGACTGAAGAATCAGTCCCCAAGTGGGGTGGCCGTGGCCCGTAAAATCGAGGATCGCCTTTAAGGTCTTATGGTCTCGAAATGTTGGCAGTTTCAACTTCCGTTGTGATCGTCCCTTAAGCCTGTTTACACAATAAATCAAGAGTATGAAATAGAAAATTTTTCTAGAAGCATGAGATATCGGCAAGGAAAAATACTTCTCTCAATGGACGATTATACATGCGCACATGTTTGACGTTAGGGCTCGAGTAACCTATATTGGCATGGCTCATCTGACTGTTTGACCCTTACAACATTTTCCTATCGAGGCCCCATTTTCATGGAGTAATTCTCTTGCAACAAAGTGGACATTCGAGGGTAATTCCTCTCGAGGCTTAGCTTAGGGAACCTCGGAGACCTTTGAACTGCCCTAAGCCAGCACGAACAATGGTTGCCTCATTAAAACCCATGTCAGAAAAATCCATTTGGGACAAAAATTGGACCAAGGGAAAAAGAGTGCAATGCATGCTTTAAGATTCAAAGCCTCGTGCCGATCTTTGTCGATAGCCTGCAAGTGTTAGTCGAAAAAATAGAGATAATTGGAATGGGGTCGTACCTTTATTCAGATTTTGGAGATTTAATGTGATTAGGCCCTCATAAATTTTGACCTTGACCATTTCTCTTCTCACTTTGTGTGAGGCCCAAACCCGCTGCCTCTATGGTCTCCGTTGTACGGTTGATATCGATCTCTATTCCACATCCGCTCTCAATCGACGTCCCCTTTGATCCTACTGATGTCTATACTTCAATACCACACAAAAGGGGGTGATTTGTGTGGTGCCCAATTTTTCATTTAACTGGATTATAGAAGGATCTGGATCTTCTATGTGTTCCAACTACTACTGTTGCGGAATAATAAATATAGAAATTAAAGAACACAAAGATTTTACGTGAAATATACCCGGCTCAAAAGGTGAAAAAAACACGGCCTACCTTCCAGTAAGATTTTCCCAAACTCTCCACTAAAATCACTGAGCCAAAAACTGCATTTACAAAAACTCTTTTGTAAATCTAGGATTAACTCTAATCCCGTTGTAGCACACAACCTCAATTGTTGCGACAACTTCAAGTTAACCCTTACTTGAAAACTCCAAGTACCTAATACAATTGCTTCTAGATAAAGCTGAAAGGTACAATATTAAAACACCTATTACAATTGAACTAGAATAAAAAGGCAGATGCTTAGAACTGGTTCTTCTATCTGGTTCAAGTAGCTTCAGGATTGCACGCTTGAATCACACATAAATTGCTTGCAAAATTGCCTTGCTATTTTGCTCTCAATTCACGTTTAACTTCTGCTTATGTGTATTTTCTGTAAAAGAGAACAACACTGATATTTATGGAGTTAGTAAAAAGAGATTGACTAGAATACATACGCTACTCTTCCTTGGTTGAAGAGTTCTAGTTTGTCTCATCCTCTATCTCTATCCATTTCTTAAGCCGTGTTTCTCTTTGTGTAAGGAGTCTTTCTCCTTATCCAATATGCAATATTTTCGATCAGGATCAAGAGATATCATTTCTGGTAAGTTAGGTTTTTCTCCTTCACGTGCATCTCACATGTTTGAGTTGATCATAACTGTGCTTCACAAGATGGACCTGGTCTATGTCTGAGTTCCTTTGTCAGTCTTTAAAACTTCATCTTTACTTGGGCCAACAAATTCCCCCTTTTTGATAATGACAATTTCTGTATTTTTCACTCACTTAGGCCCTGTCAGAACTCAGCTTATTCATCAATACAAAGTTAGAAAAATTTACTTATCATCAAGGACCAGGTTCATTAGGTTATAAACATCACTTATTCAGAATATATAAAGCACAATATCTCTTCCCCCTTTTGGCATCATCGAAAAGTTGTATAAACAAAATGTGATTCCCAGAATTTTAACAATTACTCATGGCCATTGGGGCAACTGTAAGGGCAATTATGGATTAATCATCAGTAATCAAGCAAACACATTCAAACTGTCAAGGAAATATTAACAATCAACAAAAGCAAAAATAATAGATTTCATTGATAGGAGATATGTTGCTACCACAATCCACAAAAAGAAAGCAAAAATATTCAAAACATGAGCAAAAGAAAGAGAAATCCCTAATCTGGGTCACTGGTGGTACTAGACAGGTTCAGGAGATGAAGGCTAGAAGTCTTAAGGTTTGGGAGAGCTAGAAGGTTGGTT